GAGAGGGAATGGTAGTGAGCCAGTCTCCAGCACGTGGAAGGCTAGATGATAAAGCTAGAGCACAAAGTCTGGGACTGGAAGCAGGACAGAAGACTTTTGAAAAGGGAATTGTCAATGATATGAGACAAAAACTTCTGAGAGCAGGAACCTCAAAATCATCAAAAGAGGAGATGGGAGACAATCTCAATCCTGAACAGAAAAATTCAAGGGCTGAAGAAAAATACGAGAAAGGAACTGATTGACCTGACAAGGAGTGAATGAGGCATGAACAGAGCTAAGGAAAATAGTAGCAGCATGGACCCCAGCCTGTTGAAGTCCTAAACCTTCTAACCAGATGGGAAGAGAGGCCTTGAGCCGAGCCCAGGGTGAGACCAAGCCCCCAATGAGGTCTGAGAGAGCATCAAACACAACAGAGTCGAATTGTTGGCAGACAGGAAGGACACTTGGGGCAGGTTCACAAAACACACAAAAATTTTGGCAAAATCTGGCAGAAACACAGCAGAGAAAATTCTGATTGGGGGTCTTCAAGAAAAGGAAGCATGGAGATTAGAGACTTGATTTTGTCAACTCTCTTAGTTGGCAAAAGGAATCAGGGACCAGGGGGCACCCAAGAGGAGAAATCCATCAGAAGAAACTGGGATTCCAGACAGAGAAGATGGGAGAGAGACTGAGGGATCAGGGGAGAAAATCAGTGACTTGGGCATGGTTTAGGAACAACCCCAAAAAAGGACCTGCCTCCTCAATGATTTAAATAGCAATCTAATTCAGAAATAAATATTATAATTAGTTTTGTTTGTTGACAAATGTTAACATAATCATATCAAAATATTTGTTTAATTATTCTTGAATTTTATTCTAGTATTCTAGTATTATTCTAGTATTTTATTAATTATTCTTTGTTGATTAAGTCAAATAGATGCATTGTGCTCAAAGAGGATAGACGTAGCTATAGCTATTGCAAATAAACCACAGTCTCTAGTTGCCAACTTGCTTTGGTGTTTTCATAATTTTCAGTCGAGGTTTCTTGTTGGTAAGTGGTCGAAAAATATTTGTAATTTGAGCTCTAGTTTTGGCACTAGCACTGTTGTACAGGGAATCGTAAATCTCAACATTGTTGTCAGTACATTTAATATTTGAAGCAACGATCCAGTGATTAGACAGATCATAAAAAATTTGCAATCCATGATCTATTGTGATTTCTAGTGAAGCAAACATGTCATTAAATAATGTATTATGCCATCCTTTTATACCAGGAAATTGCTTAAGGAGAGCTGACTGAGCAAAAAATATATACCGATCATTCAGAAGCTCTCCATTAAGAAAAAAAACAAGATAAAGTAGGATTCCAAATGACCAACAAAAATACAAAATGAAAATCCTACTCGTGACACAAATTCTACTCTACATTGTACTTTTAATGTTATTATGTAAGAATTACGGATCACTTTGCAATGTAGAGTAGAATTTGCATCACGAGTAGGATTTTCATTTTGTAATTTCGTTGGTCGTTCGGAATCCTACTTTATCTTGTTTGTTTAAAATTTTTATGTTCTTGTTTGTGTTGATTAAAAAAATATTTATAGTATTTTTTAGTTGCAATTGTGATACTTGTTGATTTTACACAAACAATAATTTTCTTTATTATTATTATTATTATCATTGTTATGACATTTATGAGAGACAGCATTGAATAGACATGCTGAAGGAATATCAACTATACTGATGACAAGTGAAACGGATACCAGTCTTGACACAAGTCCTTGTTCAAGAATCTGTGAGCTAAGAGTGTCCATCTTCCCTGGTATTCCTGTTCTTCCAGGCTGTTGTCAGTCAAGTTCATAATTATCATTGCATATCATAAGTCATAACATTAATTGTTTGTTTTTAAAATAAAATGACACACTTGATAAAACAGTAACGTGTAAAATTAATACCTTCTTTTAGCTGGAAACCTCCAATAAAGTATAGCAGTAAGTTGATTCCAAGCACAGCTTGGTAAAAAATAACCAGAGCTGCAAACCTGAGCATGCGCGACCACATCCAAATTTTAGAGCACATGCTTCTTTAAATAACAAAATGGCGGCATGCAGCTAAGATGGCTCGATCCAGCAGTCACAGTATCACTTTTTCCTCACTTGAAGAATGATCTGATGGGACATGGACCTGCACATAGACTGTTGGAGTAGATTGGTGTAAGAATTATCCTTGTAGCACCAAACTGATACTGAGATACACACCGACAACTGCATTGACAGGACTTGTTGATGATGATGATGATGATGAAGATGAAAAAAGGTGGCTGAACAAAACGGCCGGTTTGCCGATTTTTGGCTTTTCTCTTAGACAAGGTCTAGAGCCACTAGAGCCACGCTAGGGGTACCAATGGAGTCCTCTGGTCAAAATAAGGTCCTCTAAGAAGTCTGGTAAGCATAGGAGCTCGTTTTCCTGGTATAGCAAGGCTGCAAAAGTCGTGGCAGCCATTTTGTTTGGGGGTGAATCCTACTTAGTAACGCTACCGGGTTACTAATAACTGCTCGCATGATCTAATGCTGAAAGAGTAAATGTAGGATTTCGTCCAAACGTTACTCCTATACTGACCCATTGTGCAGACGACTCTTCATCATCAGTAGCAGCTGCCTCATCATCTGAATTAATTACACTGTGACTGGATGTAGTTTCATCAAGCTTTAGTCGTTTACTCTGTGGTTCAGAAGTACGAGATGTGACTAGTGTTTCTTTTTTTCTTTTTTGTTGGAGCACACTCCAACAACTCCACACTCCAACTCCACACTCCAACACTCCAACAACAACCTTTGCAATATCTTGCTTCATTCCAGTAAAAGTTAATGAACAAGGTACTTCCAATTCTCCTTGAACCAGATCAGTAGAGTGCTTTCTAGCATCTGTAATGGTACAATTAATTGTTCCTTTTCTCAAAAACAGACAGCAAACAGCTGAAATTTTACAAGGATAGTGTCCTACTGTAGCGTTGCCACAATCTCTTTATAGCAACAGCATAGGGATCAAAAATGTTGCCTGGCTCCACTTCACAGGAAAAGATTTCACCCAGCTGAGGTGTCTAAATTTCTTTATAAATGTGGTGGCGACAAATGACAGAGTCAGAAACAAAAGAAAACATAGCAGCAGGCTAGATAGAGGCCATCCACATGCAAATACACGTTCATTTAAACTGACCACGCCCTGATTATAGGGGGCCACACCCATAACTTATTAACCAGTTAGCTAAATCTAAATTATTATTTTAAAAACGCGAAATTTTTATTTGCGAATGTAAAATTGCAGCCAAATCGTGAAATTTTACACCCATGAAATATATGCTGCATACGGCATATTTTAATTCAGGATAGGAAATAACAGTGCTCAAAATAGCTCCAATTTTTCCCTAATGAGCACTTTTTTACTTTAAAATATTCTACTTGGTGAGCCAAGTGTGCACTAACTAAAGTCTATTAATTTATTAATTAGATCTATTACAAACCTCACACATAATAACACATGTGCGTGCATGCGCTGCAGTAATTAAAATGGCTACTAATCAGTCTAGCTTATAATAGTCCTAGTGCTCTTTGCTCACCAAGAGTGGAATATTTGTATTATTAAGTGCTCATTTTGCTCATTCAAAATAATTTCTTATTTCCAACCCAGTTTAATTTTTAAATATCTGTCATGCACTCAGTATCGCAGACTGTATCACACTTTAAAATATTTGGTGAAGAAGGGGCTATAATATCTGCTAGCTCATAACTACAGAACCTGTACAATTATTTCCCCTTATTTGCTGTATTAATTCAAAATTTTAAAAATTGTAACATAAAAATGGTCACTACTTAGTAGTGGCAAGAGTGGATAATTGTTTAGGGAGAGTGTTTAGCCTGCCTATATAGAGGATATGCGTGCTAAGTTTATTCATAGCTTTTAAGTACTGTATATCCAACCCACACAGTAAATTGGCCACCATGTTGGACGTCAAGTTTATAAAAAGTTCAATGGGGGAAAAAACATTTTCTTGCCTTGCTACCTTCTTGAGGCCTTTTTCGGAAGCTTAGAAAGCATCCTGAGGATCTAATGGGGTCTAGTAGTCACCTGAAAGATTGCTATCAAGAAATACATAGCGGTTTTCTGGTACCAAGCCTTTTTCTATCTTTTCTCCATTGCTGCTAATGGAAAGTTGACGTCCAACAAACTAATTTTTTTTCTTGAAAGTTATTACGGTATGCAATGAATACATTTATTTTGCAATGAATATACTTAGCACGCATATCCTCTATTCTGTGATACTACAGCGCATATGCTTACACACGTCTCAGTAATCTTCAAATTTATGGGTGTGGTTGATAAAATGGCACTTGAAGCATGTAGGCAATTCTAAGATTTATATTTCCACTCGGAGGATCATGCAGTGCAAGAAACAAGCAGGAACAGACGGGAATATGTTCTTCTAATGGTTGGCTATTTCTTATTTGCAGCTTTCTGACTCGGAATGAATATAAGGACGCAAGAATGGCTACTTGGTGCTAATCACCATGCTATGGAAACATACGCACTGTGGTATCATAGATTATAGGCGCGTTAGATACTCTCCCTAAATTATTATCCACTCTTGTTAGTGGCTATAGTTATACTTGTATTGTATACCATGCATTCTGGTTGGACCACACCGAGTATAGAGCTGTTGCATGGATGTAATCAACGGGGTAGGCAGAGCTTCCTGTCGGCCATCTTGAGTGGCAAGAATGTACACACAACGAATGGAGGAATGGAAACAAACTGCGATTTTTCATCAACGAGATATCATACTTCACTGCAGAATATTATAGAGACTTCTTTACTCAATATCTTCATCTCCTACCTTGCATTAGCCTGGAATGTCAACTACAGAATTTATTTAAATTTTTTCTCCATTCCCCCATTCATTCTTGGCCTTCTTGCCACCCAACATGGCGGACAATTTAGCTCAATTTTAGCCACACCCTCCCGTTGATTACTTCCGTGCAACAGCTCTATCCAGTAGAGGGCAGTTTCATATCCATAGTCTACACAATAACGGTACATTGTATTGGACACAGAAAGCGTGGGCGGTGTATGGATTCCCCATTGAAAATGAACATAGCTAAAGTATGCTACCTTTAAACATTTCTATAACAGCCGCAGATGGTCACACTATTATTACTAGCAAAAATAACAGAATATACATTGCTTTTAATAATAAAAATAATCTTGTACAATCAACTTGAGACAAGAGAGAGATACATGTATGCTGTGTCCTGTTGCTCCATCTTTTAGAAAATTCCCGACTTTGATTTTTGTACAAATCCGTCACAGTTTGTCTGCAAGGCTACAGCTCCTCAGGATTGCTGACAAACATAAATGCTACAGGATTATGTCACTTATTTGCTAAAATTCTTCAGTTTTGGTCCTGAGAAAATGGTTAAAAGATGCACCAAAAACAAGGACCACATCCACCTTTCTTGCTACATGTACTTGTTTCATTGTTAGTTGCAGGGCCGTTTTGACAACTTTTAGCTGTGGGCCAACTTTGAATTTTGTACAAATCAGTCATGGACCTCTTACATTCTCCAAAAAGGGTCTGGTAACTTGAGAACACTTGCTTAAGGGGGCGGGGTATGTCATTCTCATTAATTATTCATATACTTTCAAATCATTTATAGCAAAATTACTAGAGTGTTAAACTTCTTTTATTAACAGATATCATCATTATCTTTGTGTAAAAAATCAGTGAGACTGATATTAAAGGTGGAACAAGAAAAAAATTGAAGATGCAATTTGTTGCTTTGACGCATTTTGTGACAACATACTTCATAGAAGAGCCTTCAAGTTAATAAAATGAAGTTAAATTTTCTTGATCTATAAACGTATAGAGCGATTTGTACATTAAGTTTCTTAGTTCTTGATAAACCGCCAAACCGAGGCTATACAATTAGCCGTAAATGTCAATAAACCAGTCATAGAGAAGAAAATTGGACAAATTGCTCTATACGTTTCTAAGGAAGAATGATTTCTCTTTAGAAATAATCTAACTAACTGGAATAAGTAGGTTCTGATCCTTAAAAATGAGTCAGAACAAACTTTTGTTAGTGGTGGCCATCTTTCTAAACTATTATTATAGACTTACATGTAATTAGAATTAGAAATAAACGGTACTTTAAAAGTGGGTGTGGTGAATGAAAGCATGGTGCATCATAGTATTTAACAAGCCATTATGGACAGTACATTACCATTCTGTAAATTACCAGTAAACGGATGTATACAGTATTGGTTGTGGTCAATTGTCACACCCATACACCCCACCCTCCACGTGGGAACGTGCTCTTCAGAGTTCTAGCTCGAGTTCTGCCTCTTTCCATTACATTTACAGAAATGAGCAGCGAGAAACGTTTTGTTTGCTCTATTTGTGGTTCTGCTTACAGTCATAGTAGTGGTCTTTCAAGGCACAAGTCTAGAGATCATACTCAAAGTTTTGGGAATATTGCATGTAGCTATACAGAGTGCTGTTGCAGGTCAGCAGCTATTTTAATTTTGTTTTTATTACCATATATACTTGTACTGCTATAGATTTTCCAACATTGATCAGTTAATCAAGCACTTGCAGGAAAGCCACAATCACTCTATTGAAGTTAAAACGAGGAAGTTTGATACAATGGAGGATTTTATGGCCTGGAAATCAGACATTGAAAAATCATCTTCCTCATCATATGTCTTGCATTCTGCTCCTCAGAAGCGTGAGGATCATTCATGTTACTATTATTATTGTAATCGCTCTGGAGTTTATCATTTAAGAGGTAAAGGGAAAAGAGCATTAAAGCTGCAAGGTAGTAGTAATAAAGTTGATGGCTATTGTGTTGCCTATATCAGAGCTTGTAGATACACTTCTGGTGCTGTCACTGTTGAAATTTGTGATCATCACTTGCACGAATCTCAATTAGCTCACATCCCCCTTCCAGAGTCCACAAGGCATATGATAGCAGCAAAACTGCAAGATGGTGTTGAAATTCAAGCAATATTAGACTCTATACGTGATGGTGTTGAAGGTGCTGAGATTGGTCGATCAGAATTAATCAATCGTCAAGATATACACAATATTCGCCACCAATATAATATTGAGGGCATCCAGTATCACTCTAATGATCATTCAAGTGTACAGTTATGGGTGGATAATTTACAAAGTGATAGTGAAGACGAATCTGTTGTACTTTTATTCAAAGAGCAAGGTGTTGAGCAAAGTAATGATTTAAATGACTTTTCAGTAAGTGATTTTGCTCTGGGAATTCAAACCTGTTTTCAGAAGGACATGCTATTCAGATTTGGCAAAGAATCAATTTGTATTGATAGCACACATGGAACGAACATCTATGACTTTTATCTTATCACTGTGCTTGTGTTAGATGATTATAAAGAAGGTATCCCTGTTGCTTGGCTTATTTTAAACAGGGAAGATGCTGCTGTACTAAACCAGTTTTTTTCAAAATTGAAAGTCCGATGTGGTGATATAAGCACCGATGTGTTTATGAGTGACGATGCAGACAATTTTTTTAATGGATGGAAAGGTGTTTTCACGGTAAGTAACACCAGGAAACTTATCTGTTCCTGGCATGTAGACAGAAGCTGGAGAAAAGGTCTGCATACACACATTTCTGTGAAGTCCAAGCAAGCTGAAGTATACCACCATTTATGAGTATTGCTTGGTGAAACTAGTGAAGCAGTGTTTAGGCAAAGGTTGCAGCAGTTTTTATCTTGGTTGAGAAATGATGCAGACCTGGTGCCATTTCTTCAATACTTTGAAGGTAATTACATGCAACGTATAAAACAGTGGGCTCCATGCTATAGGTCATCTACAACTGTTAATACGAATATGGCATTGGAATCTTTTCACTGAGTTTTGAAAGTCTGTTACCTTCAAAAGAAGCAGAATCGTAGAATTGATTACTTATTGCATATATTGTTGAAAATATCAAGAGACAAGGTTTTTGATAGACTTCAAAAGACCCAGAAAGGAAAGATTTCTCATCGAATATCTGAAATCAACAAACGTCACCGCGCAGCACAGAGTATGGATCCTGCCAATTGTATCATTTCAAAGAATGAAACAAGTTGGAAAATAAAACCTGAGTCTACTTCCCAGCAACAGTGCTACAGAGTTGAGAAAGTTTCTAATGATGCATGCTCATGTAAAGCACGTTGCAACAAATGTGACATTTGCATTTGCTCCTACTCCTGTACGTGTATAGATTACCTTATTCACACTACTATATGTAAGCATATTCATCTAGTGAATATTTTCAATCACCTTGATTTAGAGCGGCAAACAAAATCCAGTGGAACAAGTTCTACTACTACATATGCTGCTATGCTATCATCAGATAACAATGAATCAACTAATAATGAGAATATTGAATCAGGTTCTACGTCAGCTATACAAGCTAGTGTCATTCTTCAGTCATCCTCATCAATTGATGTGTTATCAGTGTCTGCTATGCTGTCATCAGATAACACTGAATCAACTAGCATGGAACATACTGAATCAGGTTCTACATCAGTTATACCAGCTAGTGTCACTCTTGAGTCATCCTCATCAATTGATGTGTCGTCATTGCAGTATTTAACGCACCAAATAAGTAACCAGCAGCATTCAGACGATCTTCTTCTTGTAAAGGAACATGCAATACAAGCATGTAAAAAAATTGAGTTAAAAATACGTAAGAGTGAGAAGGTTGAAGCAGTAAAGGCTTGTGCACAGCACTTAAATCATGCATTGACTATGATTTCATCATATGACAAGCATAAACGTTCTGTTTTGCCCCAGAAAAGGAAACTAGCTCCCAATACTCTTATTGAGCCACAGCTTCGATTTGTTTCAACCAAGAAGAAGCGACAAAAAGCAACACGGTTAGCAAAACCTAGTAATGATGAAATAGCTAAGTGCATCGAAAGTTTAGATGATGTACAGATTGAAGTATGTGGCATTTGTTTTCGTGAGAATGATGCAAGTTCCTACTGTGCTACTGTTGATTGGATTCAATGCTATGAATGTGACATGTGGTTTCACTCTTCATGTGTTGCTTTAGACAAGGAAAATATTGATGAGAATATTGATGATTTTATTTGTCAAACTTGTACTGATGCTTGAAGAAAATAACTTGCCATGAAATAAAACCAATAATTGAATATAAAAAATATTGAATATAAAAATGAAGGGGCGTGACCGTTTAGTACTATATAGTGGGCGTTATGACCACGCCTATCAGTTCAAGTATACTGTGATACACGGCGCAATACAGAATGATAATGTACTGTCCCTAATGGCTAGTGGTACTTACAGTTCATATTGCTGTTTAAAGTAGCGGGGCGAGACTATGCTGTTTAAAGCAGTGGCGTACATATAGGAAATGAAGAGTGAGGGCACAGTGGGGGCACTGAATAAAGCAATGCTCATGAATACTCAATATAGTAAGCTCAATTGAGTCAGTTGTAACTTGTATCTATTCAGTCTCCTGCCTAGTTCTGGGGCACAAAAGCAGTTATGAGGGCCACAAACCCCTATGTAGCTATGCCACTAGTTTAAAGAACACCCGCATTCCTCCAAACAGCAAGTCCACCACACATATATATATCAAGTAAAATGATGCATGTCACGTACTCACAGAGAAACCAAGACTTCCCAGCTCGAGTAACCAGGGCCGCCAAGGTATAGGATACCTGAAAGACTCAAGCATGGTCAGTATTGTGATGTGTGAGGTGAAGTACTTGTCTCTTGTATAGTCTTTAATGAAACATTCTTTCCTGCACTCATGAAAGTCTGATGCAGTGCAACAGGAAGGAAGCATTTATTGCATTATTATGATTCGTTTCCCTCATTTATGAAACTACCTCCCAACTATAAATACGAACAAATCACTTACAGTACTTAAAAAGGAACTTAATCGATTTTTTATCTCACATTTTCAAACAAATTTTGATCCTACAAATCACCACACTTTTCATGTCATGTGTCCATGTATTGTTTGCTCCAAACTCCCTTCACCCATACATTTTTGATTCAAACAAGCTCATAATAGTTCTTTTTTCTCTTTTGTTAATTTATTTTGTTCTATTTATTTTTCTTGTCTTTTTGTTTGTTTGTTTTTCTGGGGGCTAGACCAGTTCTTGCCTTCCTGCAGGTCATTCTCTTTCACTTGTATCATTTCATTTTGTTTCTCTCTTCTACTGTCTTTGTCCTGTAAAACTTTATTAAATTAAATTAAATTAAAAATTAATGTATTTTTTAACCATTATAATTATTAACAATTCTTTAGCAATAATTTTTGTACAATTACAATTATTAATATTGAGCAATAATTTTTGAACTATTACAATTACTAAGTATTGTCTGTGTGTGTAAAGTATTATATATCGTTCAGATTAACTCTCCTCCTTTTGCTCTGCTTTTCCTCTTCATGATCCTCTTTATCTTCCTCTTCAAGATCCTCTTCATCTTCCTCTTCGTCATCCTCCTTCTCATGAATGAAATCTTGACTTCCTTCCTCTTTTTTCGACTTTCCGCCTTTTCTTGACATTTCTTCCATTCCTTCCTCTGCTTTAATTTCTTCCTCTTCTTCAATTTCTTCTCCTGCTTGAACTCCTTCCTCTTGTTGAATTCTTTCCTCTGTTTGAATTCCTTCCTCTGTTTGAATTCCTTCCTCTGTTTGAATTCTTTCCTCTGTTTGAATTCCTTCCTCTGTTTGAATTCCTTCCTCTGTTTGAATTCTTTCCTCTGTTTGAATTCCTTCCTCTGTTTGAATTCTTTCCTCTGTTTGAATTCCTTCCTCTGTTTGAATTCTTTCCTCTGTTTGAATTCCTTCCTCTGTTTGAATTCTTTCCTCTGTTTGAATTCCTTCCTCTGTTTGAATTCTTTCCTCTGTTTGAATTCCTTCCTCTGTTTGAATTCCTTCCTCTGTTTGAATTCCTTCCTCT